GTCGGTCGGTCTCGGTCGTCGGTCGGTCGGTCGGTCGGTCGTAGGTAGGTAGGTAGGTAGGTAGGTAGGTAGGTAGGTAGATGGATGGATGGATAGGTACTTTATTGATCCCAATTTGGGAAATGTTTGCGTTTCAGCAGCATAACAAACAAGGCAATATACATACGAAATTAAGACAAAAATATCCAAAATATGTCTGAAATTGAAAGAAAACAGCATTAAAAAGTTAAAAAAAAAATATAAATATATGTGGATGTGGAAATACAACTTTCCAGTAACAAATGTAATGCAGGATATTATTGTGCAAGAAATAGATTATTCATTAAATGTAATATAAATGTAAAATGTGGGAGTGGGAGTTTAAGTCCAGTTATTAAGAGAAGCTATGGAGCAGAGTGGTGATTTGTTATAGAGTTATTGCAGTGGGCATTTCTGGTGTATACAGGGAAAAATAACGCATAACTTCAGATAAACATCCGAGGTGTACCTGCTGTCTTCTGGGTGTTAATTGAAGACACAGTTAGCTATCTGTCAAGCTAGAAATCAGATCTCCACTCCAGTAAGGGCAATAATAATAACAATACAGAGCCTATAGTAACCATGCTCTTAGTCACACTTACTAACAATGGTACCATCACTCAGCTATATTTCAGTATTTACCGTAAGAGAGACTATGAAAGCGTAAGGCAGAGGTTATTTCCGACACATTGCCTCTTCCCTCCCAGCTGTCACTATCAACAGCTCAGATAACACAGCAGCTGGGAAACTCTAAACCCAGACTTTAAGTCAAACTCTCAGCTCGCTTGTAATAATCATCAAAAACGGTGACAGTAACACACACTACAAAGCAGTAAAGATGTCGTCCACCATGATCGATTCGTTCCCGGGACTGCCTAGTCCAATCAGGTACAAATATGTCACATAGTTTTCAGCTGTAATGGTAACCCCCACCCCATGGGACAATGTGTGCATTGTAACGACAGTGGTGAGATGTCTCTCTTCCCGAGGGTTTGCCAGTTGTTAGGAATCAAATGTATTTAAATATAACTGTTAACACTGCTTTTTTAAGGCCCTTGATAGAACAGCACACAAGCCACCACTGATATGCAATAACACTACTTATATATACAATTTATACATTTTGTTTTACACTTTAATATTGTTATCACTGTCAGCTATTTCACTACCTAAGACTGGAACAGCACTGTTGTGAAATAGCACTGTGCAATACCTACTTACTGCTAAATAATCACTTGTATATGTTAACTAACCCTTATAATGCTGCTACTGATTATTTGTATACCTTGCGTCTGTACCTATTTGATCTTTATTTCATTATTGTGTGTGTTTCTTTGAATATGCTATTCTCTTCATCTTATTTTTGCCTTTTATCTGCCCTTATTGATGTAACACTGTACATTTCCCCTCTGTGGGACGGATACATATTTCGGATTTGTTGTTATATTTAAAATAGCTATGATATTACAATATCATAGAGGGAACCCACTTACTTTTTTAAGTGAGGCATCCATGTTAGTTTAACTTCTTAATACAGTGCATTAAGCCAACCCACATGGATTTGTTGTAATAACATGTGGTTACAAAGTACTGTGATGTACATGTCTATTATTTGACCTGGCCACTTCCTACTGCTGCTTCAGAGCAACCTCAGAGCACATTACAACAACTGTGAACACACACACACACACACACACACACACACACACACACACACACACACACACACACACACACACACACACACACACACACACACACACACACACACACACACACACACACACACACACACACACACACACACACACACACACACACACACTATTTTAGAAATACTTATGGCTATTTTACTAATATATATTTAGACTGTAAGTGTAAATATGCACATTGACATTGAATTTTATCACGTTGCACTGTCATCGCTACTACCTCTGCTTTTACCACTCTTATTTATTGTGTCTATTTTTTACTGCAGTGAGAGTTGCCAAATAAATGTTGTTGTACTTTGTATGATGACAAATAAAGATATATTCTATTCTTAGAGAGCGACAGGAGAGATGAAACACCTTCATTAGACTCCTTTGTAACATAGTGACACTTGCACATCTATTGGCTAGTGCTCCACCATATTGTAAGTGAAAGGCTAAGGGGCGGGACATTTCTAAGCAGTTGACCAATCACAACAGAGCAAGCAAGCTAACCAATCAGAGCAGACTGGACGGCCCTATTATTTAAATACCACAAGCTGTAAGAAAATGTTTTATAATGGCTGAGCTGACCCCTTTAAGGTAACCAAATGTCAGGCAGAAGGTAAATATTACAACATCACTGTTTGACTGAGGCAAAGCAAGCCAAGCTCACCCCAGCTGACCGTGAGTCAAAACAGGTACGAACAACCTGCTCGTGCATCAATGAGACGCAAACGCATCTACATTTTCGTGCCCATCTTCCAGAAAGGATCCTTTGTTAGAGGAGTTTCATGTGTGATGAAACGTTTTGGTCTGATCATCAAAGCTCAATAAATGACCAAAGAAGGAGAAGATATTCATGCTTAATATCATAGCTTGATTGAGTTTGTGCCCTATTCTGCTCATTTTCAGGTTCATATTTGTATTAAGTGTCTCTACTCTGACATGTCTCCATGCTTTAATGTTCAAAAGGGTCTTTATCTTGTTTCATACTGCCTGTGCTGCAGCACCTCTTTTCACCCTCTGCTCTGAGTGGTTGTATGGCCGAATCTGTTGTAATTGGTCAACCCCTTAGAGATGTCCCGCCCCTAAGCCTATCAAGTACAATGTGTTGGAGCGCTAGCCAATAGAAGCGCGGTTGTTACATAGTGATGTCATTACAGAAGTAAACAAAGGACTCCAATGGCGGCCTTCTTTTATTTGCTTTGTTTGTGGTGGTGGCGAAGTCCATAGGGACTTGGCTTGGCAACTGGAAGGTCACCAGTTCAAGTCCCGGAAAGACCAAGGGTGTTTCTCAATGTCGAGGAGGCTTGCTTGGTAGCACATGCACCTCCGTTGCTTCAGAAGCGAGGCAAGAATCCTTCCTAGCCTCGGAAATTGAAGAATTGCGGAATAGGCTAACAGGTGTGCAGGTGTGCGTCATATGCGAGGCCCCGCCTTAAATGGAGCATGATTTCTGCCAAAGATTAGGAAATCGGTCCGTGCGCAAAGCATTGTGGGGATTTTCACACCGTGGAGGATACACTTGTGCAGCCTCGAAACTTCCCGCAACGAAGTACGCCGGCCTCGGTAGAATTCTAAGTATCCTAGACATTGGAATAGTCCTTCGGCGGCACTCGATGACGTAGCATCCTTGAAATAGTTGCTCTGGAGTAGCTTTCACCGACATTGAGAAACACCCCAAGTGCTACCGAGGTGTCCCTGAGCAAGGCACCATTCCCTACAGTGCTCCCCGGGCGCCGTACATAATGGCAGCCC